TCTCTCTCTCTCTCTCTCTCTCTCTCTCTGGGTAAAACGCCACCGATCCTACGCGGATGCTTCCGGGTTAATCGAACCCCGCGCAGACCACCCTTTAATCCCAAATCCCTCAACTTTTTCCCCCCCGTTCTGCTGGATAAATGTCTTCAGAAATGTTTTGCGGATAAAGGATACGAGATTCGAGGGTTTTTTTTTTTCGTGCGCGCTTTGGCAGGATGAATTAATGGCTGGAACTTTGGAAATCGTTTCGCGGAGTAGTGCCAGTAAATGGACCATTAAAGTCGCTTTGTTGCATTTGATATCTCATTCGGCTGGCGTTACATCGTGCGGTGACGTTCACCTTGAAATTTTAATGTCAGTTTGTCGATTATAAATGATAATATCATGGAAATTTTCTTGTGTCAAATCTTCTTTGAGAAGGATAAAATCAATGTCAGAAACTTTGTAGAAAGCCACGAAAAACACAGTCACGTCGTGTAAAATTTTAAAAACCGATAAATAAATAAATAAAAAAGAATGGAGTAAAAATTAGAGAATAATATACTTGAACGAATTCAGGAATAAAGTCTTTAGGAAAGAGAATTATTTCTAATTCTAAAACGATATAACGATCATTTTTAATCCTAAAACGATTGTATCACGAAAATTAATATAATATGGTTAATTTCATAAGTCAAAGAGCAGAGTGAAGAATCAAGGTCATTCGCATGATCCTCTACATAGACCTGCATTCAGATAACGAAATCGAAACATTTACAAAGAATGAAATTAATCATATCTATCAACACGTCCTCCAAAAATACCGTGAAATAACAAAATAAAATATTACAAACGTACGTGATGAAATTTCAAATTTTAAGTTCCATTTAAATTCCAGTTAAATCCGATCTCGAAAGGCCTCATCGAATGTTGCGTTTTCAGATTGGGCCTGATGTCGTCGTTGATAGCGGGCCGATATCCGGTCGGGATCGGCGTTGGCGGTGTGTTCTTTCCGTCGACGTTGCAACACCTTCACCAGCAGCAGCAACATCAGCATCACTCGCGGCTGGCGGCCGCGTCGTCGGCGTTGAGCAACGCGGTTCAAGTCACCGGCCAATCGGACATCGTCGATGCCGACGGCATCCGCGGCGTGTTACCCGGTGGTGCCGGTTGGCCGTTTCCATGGAGGCCGACGCACGGCCTGCAGACGCTGGAACATCCGTCGCCGAGCGACGTCGTCGGTACCCTGAGCCGTGTTAGTCCCGCTTCCGCCACCTTCCCCCAAAGGGGTGAGTTGAAGTCGAAACTTACACTAATAGTCAAAAGTTTGGGACTATCATTGGCATTTGGAAAGATTAGTTTCCTTTTATTTTGGAGTAACTGTTAGTCGATATCTTTCCATAGAGTGGTGAGCTGCCAGAGTTACACTTCTAATTGAAAATTTAGAGTTATTGCATATATAGTGACAGAGTTACACTTCTAATTGAAAATTTAGAGTTATTGCATATATAGATATTCTTCAGGATTTGAAGAGATTAATTTTTATCTTAGAGTGTAACATAAAGGGTGAGTTGCTAATGCCAGGGTTAGTCAAAAATTTGGAGTTATTGCACATACACATATTCTTAAGAATTTGAAAACATTAGTTTTTATCTTATAGATATCTTACTTATAGTGATATCTTTTTAGAAAAGGGTGAGTTCCAGTACCAAAGTTATACTGCTAGTCAAAAATTTAGAATAGTTGAAAAATTAGAATTATTGCGTATACACATATTCTTAAGAATTTGAAAACATTAGTTTTTATCTTATTGATATAGTTATATCTTACTTGATATCTTTTTACAAAAGAATGAACTGCCAAAGTTATACCACTGGTCAAAAATTTAGAGTTATTGCTCATGCAGATATCCTTAGGAATTTGAAGAGATTAGTTTTCATTTTAGAGTAACTGTTACTTTATATCTTTTTAGAAAAGGGGTGAGTTCCAGTGCCAAAGTTATACTGCTAGTCAAAAATTTAGAATTATTGCACATACACATATTCTTAGGAATTTGAAGAGATTAGAGTAATTATCTTAGAGTTACTTGATATCTATCCTCAAAGAGTAGATTGTCCAAGAGTAAATATTATTTATACTACTAGAAAAAAATTTGGAGTCACTGCTCATACAAATTCTTGATAATTGAAAAACAATTAGTTTTTACTTTAGAATAATTGTTATCCGATATCTTTTCACAAAGTTTGCCAAGACCAAACACTAATTATAGTAAAAAAAAAATTGAAATTATTGCACAAGAGTTTAGAAACATTAATTCTTAGTTTGCTTGAAAATTGTTGCTCGAACATTTGTTAAAATTGAAGAAATTTCTACTAGGTAAAGCGTAGGAATCTAATAATTTTTTAAATACAATGGAGTTTTAAGTTCCCAACTTTTTAATAAATTCTTGATCTCAACACAAAGGTACTAGCATTTTAATTTTTTTAAGAAAGAAGGGTCTCCTGTAAGGTATTCTATTATTCTTCAGAGATTATTTTACTCTCTATATTTTTAATCATTTTGAGATTCAAAATCAAGAACTTAAATAGCAATTTAAAAATCTAAATTTAACTCTTATTATAGAATATACAAAATTCTTTATATTTCAAGTTTTTAATGAGTCTCCAATGATACTTCAGATCTCTCTCTCTCTCTCTCTACTTATGAACCGGATTGTATGTATATTTGATCAACCATCCTCTTCGATTATAATGGCGGATTAGCTCAATATTTAATGGATTTTGAATAAATGAACGATGTTTTAGGATATCTTGCAGAGGAACGAGTATTTTGGAATCTCTTGGAGTATTAAGAAGCAAGTTAGGTAATTTTTAATTTAGAAACTAGAGGATGGCTCTCGAAGTTTATCAAACAACTTAAGATATCTTGCTTAGCATCTTCGGATCATAAATGATGGACGTAATTTAAATTAAATTAAACATCGACGGACGTTGTTTCAGTTGAAATTCAAATCAGCGTAACAAAATAACAGGCACGGTCTTTCATCGTCGAAGCATTCATAAATAAATGGCACAGTAAATGGTTCGATTAGGAGCAATTTGACCTGAAAGTTACTCGCATTGGATAACCATCCTGCGTATATTCTACGTGTATGATTATGCGTGGAATCGTGTCGAGTTGTTGGATCATAAATTTAGGCTACTCATGCGTAATAGAGGCTTGTAAACATTCTCGTGGGCCACTCAAACTCGTTTGAGTGAAAATCGTACGCTTGTTCCAACAATTCGGTTCGATTTTCCATCTATAAATAGACCTCGTTCAATGAACGTGGACATCGACGATGCATCTATCGTTGCACATCAATCCCAAATCACGGAGAGAGAACATGATCGATTGATTGACATAATTTCTTCCAAACGCTCTATTTGTAATTCGACAAAAGCCAATTATCACCGTCGTTAGAAAAGACAATCCCTTTTTTCGTCGCTTGCGATCGAATCGAGAATTTTTATGCATTTAGGCGAAATTTAAACACGCGTAAATACATGAAATATCTAAAATGGAGAACTTTCTTTTTTTTGTCGCAAATGAAACGCGTTTTTTTAGTCTTGTAGAGTTTGTAGAGGAACAGACTTCCTTCCGTTTGTGATTAAATTTAAGAATGCAAAAATGTATAAAATATCCAAAAGCACACAGCGTTTGTTGTTATTCTTAATTCTCAGTTGAGTTTAAAGAAGAATAATCTCTTCCCCGTCACTTGAGGATTTTCACGCGTCTATGCAAAATATATGAAATATCCAAAATATCATTTCTAATGGATGAAACTTTTATTTTCTTCAGATGTTTCAGACGAGCATGTTAGAAAATATATTTGCATAAAAAATTCGCAGTCTACTTATGACAGGAAAACGAAGTGGAATTTATCGTGCAATGTACCATTAATAATCGTTTGAAAACAGAAGACTCGCAAAAGTGACGAACCGTTTGATCGGTAGAGAAGATAAATAGGGGATCTGTTTTTATGAGAGAAAAATCGATTGCAGAGGTGAAATACACCTGGGAATTCGCGAGTATGGTGAAAGGAACTGGGAGCGAGAAGAATAAAGAGAAAAGGGCAAGGCGAGGGCTCGTACGCTTTCTACGTAAGTGTATAAACGCGAGCGTGGACGGCGACGAGTACGGCTTCCACGGCTTCCACCACGACAAACCAACGTCGATCGCCTTACCCGCCGATCGTTTTACTCCTGCCACTTCGCCAAAATACTTGGCAGCCTGCTAGATGACTGCCGACTTTGCACGTACGGCGAGTAAAACATCTCGTTGTTATGATTCGCCTCTTCGCCCTTCCCTTAATCGTTATCCCGAAGAATGTGTATCTATCTCGATCTGTAACGTGTTACATCTTGATCTTTCATTCCGTTCTGAACAGTTCGGAGAAAGAAACAAGTTCAAGATTTAATTTGACATTGATTTTTGACAAGGTTTAACCTGACGTTGGTAAGATGCATTTATTTCACAAAGTATTTCACGTTTTTCATTTCCTTAGTTTCTCGAGGAGAGAAAGGAGAAAAAGAATAGCGTTTCAAATCCTTGTAGGACGTAAAATCCCTTGGAAAGTGGAATCTTTCTAAAAACCACGAAACATCGCAATTTCTTTCACGCGAAGATCCACGTGCAGAAGCATGCGAGGGGTATGCAAAACGTTGGAGAAATCGTAGACTTTCCGAGCGCGAGCTCCGTTAAAACGCCAGGTGGATTTACAAGATCGCGGTGAGTCGAGTTTTCCGTGAAAATGGTGGCAAAGAGCCGATGCAGAAATGACAAATATTTCATTAGAGCGATGAAACACGGCTCCGGCCGACATCTGAAGCAATTATGGTCAAAATGGACAAATAGAATATTAATTAGCGGACTATCAATCGACTAAATATTAAACGCAACGGCCGGCCGAGATGAATAGCCCCGATTGATTTATCGAATTCACCGGCCGAAGACAATTTATAGATACACATCCCCTCCCGGTTCGGTTCGGTTGATCGACAATACCAAAAGAGATATCCTCGCCGATTCTATTTCAACGATCGGCGACGAGAACGCTTTGAAGGACCGCCAGTTAATTAATGCGTTTAACATATGCCAAACCTGTTTCCCCAACATTCAACGACCGCCCGAATAAATAGGCCGATTTGCGAAATTATGCCAGCGTGAATTCGTCAGTCGCCGTCGCGCTAGCAATACGTATCGCGTTCCATAATTATATATCCTAATTGGTACCGTGTGAAACGAAGATTGAACTGGAAACATCGTTTCCTTCTCCAACGTGTTGATTTCATCATTCACATGTTATTTGCCAGACAATGATCTCGTAATCGTTTAATTAAATCAAACGAATTCAGGAACACGGAAACATCTGTCATCTCGTTCGATTCGATTTCTATTCGTTTGGAACGAAGGGACTTGCTACATTTGAATTCTTTGCAAGATAATTTTTTACATGAACACGAGTAAACCAGAAAATTTGTTTCACCCTTGGAATGATACAACATACAGCCCTTTACTTTGGATATTTTATATATTTTTTCTTCTTCCTTTTTGGCGCGTCGCGCGCGTTGCGTATATTTTTGCGCATTTAAATTTCCCAAGCAGTCCAGCGGTTAGTCTAATTTATACACCGTAGTGCTACTAAATTTTATTTTCAACATTACCGAAATCACGCGAGCACTTCTGGCAAAAATACCGTTGTCTTTTACTAAAATACAATCGCCTACAAAAGTCTTTGTGCGAGATTATTATTTACACACGGAGGTCGAAAACAAAATTCATCAGGTGTGTAAATAAAAACTTGTAATAACATCGCACAACAATAAACTTGCTGTAGCGAAATTTCGTAGCATTCCACTTTAATAAACTGTACGAAAAATTTTCACGAATAACGGTAGACGTGTGAATAAATTTAATTGTAATGATATACAATAAAAAATTGATCGTTTCGACGCGAAAGTCGCGAGCGGAATCGTTCCTTTCAGCGGAAGCGCGCAACAATTTATAACGCGGTCGTTGGCGATAGTATCCATTTAGCCGCCTGCATTCGCCACGATGATAACCAACTACCGATC